AGTATATTTTTTAAGACAGTAAATCTTGAGGAGGGTGGATAATAACAGTAATGCTCCTTCCTGGGCTGGAATGTGACTCTCCTACCTCTCATGGAGATAATGTATGGAGCTACATCCAATTAGTTTTTCAAAGGCTTTGTAAAGAAACGGAACTTCAAGTTTTACAGCGCTGTGAACAATTAAGCTTGAAGCATTTACACTGTGCAAGTGAGCAGTGGCTGGTGGTGATTATGGTTCTCATCTGTTTTGCTGTTGTGGGTAACAGCCTGGCAGGGCACACTCCTGCCTCTCTGCCTGACCTCCTCTTTTTGCACCCACAGGGAGGGTGCTGGATGGAATGTGAGATGTTTTGATGGGAAATTCCTTCCCTCTGGTGCCATCTGCTCCATTGAGGCACCCCTTGCTCATGCAGCTGGTGCTCATGGCCTCAAGGGATAACTGGAGGAGGACGTTGGCCTTGTTGGCATCCCAGGCAGCACTGAGTGCCAGAGCATCCTCCCAGCAAGCTTATGCTTGACCATGTGTCCTTGACCACCATGCTTGTCTGCTTCCTTGATACTGTACCTCCCCTCACTGTGTCATACTTCTGCAGAGCCAAGCAGTGTCGTTGTCTGGCTAGGGTAGGACGAGGTGTCAGGTCACTGGAAAGGCACTAGCAGATGTGAGTGGACTCAAAATAAGTGCCACAAAGTGGTGGCTATGTGGGTGTCCTGGGGGTATGCCCCAGTAGCTGGGCCCAGGAGATGCTCATGCCCCTGAGGAGAGTGTATTTGGGCCGGTGAAGGTGGAACATTCCTCACAGTTGGTGTCAGGCTTTGACAAGGCAATGAAAACCATTTGTTTAGTTTCTAATGAAGGGGATGAGTGGTCTGAGCTGTCAGTGATTCAGCTGGGTGGGTCAGTAGGGCCATCCTTCTCTCCTGACGCCGGGGGAGGCAGGAGAGGAAGGAAATTTGCTGATAAGAGGAAGGTCAGAGGCAGAAAAATGTTGGGAATGTGTTTCTTGATCTAACATGGGAGAGACCTAGCCTGGGGTTTCACTGCTCAGCCTGGTAGTGTTACTGTCTGCTGTTGTAAGAATTATGAGATTTTTTTAAACCTGAGATCAACTGCTCATCTGGCACCTACCTCAACACAGGCAGGTCCAGAAGATGGAGGTGATTCATCTCTGAGGGCACAGCAAGGATGGTGGTGGATCTAAGCACTGTTTTTCAGTGTTTGAGATGGAGCATTTTCTACTGTTGAAACAGCTCATTTGGCTTTTTAATCTCTTTTTCCTACATATATTTTATGTTGTGCTGGTGGGGTGTTTTCTGGCTGAGGTCAGACTTTGGACACTGTTTGGGGTTGAACAGTGGTGTCTGAAGAATTCTAACAAATCTCAGAGCAGGCTTTCAAGACTGGGGGTAGTTGTGGTGTGCACTGGCTCCTGGGGATGCAGGACTTGCCTTCTCAAGGAGTGCCCTTTTTTTGGTAAGGGATAGGAAACCACAGTAAGGAAATAATTCTCTCTCCCTTTCCTTTTCTTTGGCAGTCATGCTCTATTCTTTCCATCAACCAGCCAGTCAGGCCTTGTAGCATTCAGGGCCTGAACACAAAAGCTTCTGTGTCACCATTCATCTACTTAACCTAAATTGCTTGTAGCTGTTAGCAGTGTTGTAACACACCACAAGCACATGGTGAAGGGGTTGCTCACGAGGGTCAGGTTGCCAGCCTCCACTTCGGGTAACTTCCCACTGTGCTTGAGTTCACAGCTGCTGGAGTGGACGTCCTGCAGCTTCTCTGCCCTCTGTGGGCTCAGATCTGTGCTTCAAGGCTTGTGGTCTAGTAACAATGGTAGGGTTGGACTTGGTGATCTTTGAGGTCTCTTCCAACCTGGTTGATTCTGATTCTATGATTTGTGCACTTGTTTATCCAAGTGTTGCTGTCTTTGCAATTTATGCATGCAGAGACTGTGCTCAGTCCAGAGGCACAGCTCTGATGTGCAGGCAGGTGTGGATTGAGACCTTTGACATCACATTATTAATCCTTCCTTGAAGCTGCTTTGAGATAAAAATCAGGACCTGCTGTAACAGGGTTACTGCATTCACTGTGTGCATTCAGAGCTCTCAGCTCTGCTGCTGCCCTGGCACTATGAGGGTACTGGTGAAGCTGGAGGGCAGAGTGGGAAAGATACCTTCTCTGACCAGATCTACCAATGGAAGCTGTTGTCTCTAGCACAGAAGTGGAAGTGGTGAAGTCTCTGGTTGTCTTCAGGCAGAGATGAAGATGGTTTTTGGAGCTGTTTAGCCAAATCAGCATTATTGGGCTGAATTCAGGGGTAAGTTAACAAAGTGTGGTGTCCTGGGGTACAGAGGAGGTCAGACCAAAGGGTCTGTGGTCCTCTCAGATTTATATTTAACAATCTCAAACTCCCCTCACACCATGCTGGAGGACAGGTTTATTACTAATTCAGCAAGTTGTTCAAGCTGATGCAGAAATCCTGCTGACTTCAGCACCGATCTACTGCAGCAGAATACTTGCCACCTTTAGATATGCATGGCTGAATTTGCAGTGCTGTTGACTTAAGGCCTTCACAGGGAAGGTGCCGTAGATTAATTCTGTAACCTACTTGATTTGCTCCCTCCTCCTCTGACCTGGAGACTCCCCCTATGTTAGGGTGGTTGTTGAGCAGAGTTTGTGGTCCTTGCAGAAGAGGATGGTGTTGCTGTGAACCTTAGCACAGCTTAAGCTGTTCACTGAACTTGCATAGCTTCCTTTGGTGTCTTCTTAACCTTTTTCATGGGAGCTCCTTTGGATTTACTGGATTTGGACAAAGCATGATCCAGACCAAATAGTGAGCATGTTTCCTTGGAGAGCGTTTGTGCTTTAGATGGGCACTTGACTTGGATCTGTCCTGCTGTTCCTTTATGTGTGGTTTGGCACTTGTCTATGGCAGCACTTTTCCAAGCATATTCCAATTTTTCTCTTGAATGGTCAAAGCACTCTCAGCGATTAGCTGTAGTTTGCATGCTAGCTCTTCTGCTGAACTGCCCCCGGAGTGGCCAAGAAGTGGCATTCAGGCTTGTGCCAAGTGCCTTTGGCAGCTACTGGCAAAGGCAGAGATAAGCTGTTTAGTGCAGAGCCAGTCTAAACCTCACATGTGTACGTGGGTGTGTGTTCGTGTGTGCAGAGCTGCAGCTGGTGGTGCCTGCTCACCATGGTGGGGCTGATCCTGAGAGGTGCTGGCCACAGGCAGCACGTACCCACCAGCAGTGATTCCCGTGTGTTAACACCCAGTTCCTTGCCAGTTCGTGCTCAGCAAGAAGTCCTGGGGTTGAATAGTAGCAGTCACACTGTAATAGATGAAATGAGTTAAAATATAATTCCACTTTGCAGAACCCATTTAGCAGTGTGGCAAAATCATGGAATTTTAGGGATTGGAATGGACCTTAGAGATCACCCCAACCCCCCCTGCCTTGGGCAGGGACACCTCCCACCAGAGCAGGTTGCTCAAGGCTCAGCCAACCTGGCTGTGAACACTGCCAGGGTTGGGGCAGCCACAGCCTCCCTGGGCAACCTGGGACAGTGTCTCACCACCCTCACAGGGAAAACTTCTTCCTAATATCTAACCTAAATTTCCTCTCCTTCAATTTTCTGCCATTAGTGCTTGTCCTATCACTGCATCTCCTAACCAAGAGTCCCTCTGCAGCTTCCCTGGAGCCCCTGCAGACACTGGAAGGTGCTCTGAGGTCTCCACACAACCTTCTCTTCTCCAGGCTGAACATCCCCAACTCCCTTAGCCTGTCTTCTTCATAGGGGAGATGCTCCCCTTAGCAACTTTGTGGCCTCCTCTGGACTTCCTCCAACAGTTCCATGCCCTTCTTACATTGAGGGCACCAGAACTGTATGCAGTACTCCAGGTGGGATCTCCTGAGAGCAGAGCAGAGGAGGAGAATCACTCCTTCTGATGCAACCCACGATTTCTGGGTATTTTCATATGCTTACACTGCAAAACTCTTTTCCTCCTTCTGTAAGAACTCATGGCCTTTGCTACCCAAAATACAAGTGGAGGGGAAATTTTGCAAAGGTTTGAGTGGATAGAAGGAACTCTTGCAAACTAAGCTATAATGAAAATGGAGAAGAGGTTTTCCCACGTACTTTTTTCTTCCCTGTGAAGTTTGCAAATGTGTTGCTTCAAAGCACATTTAAAAACAAAAGCCAGATGTTTTGGAGAGCAGTAAGCCACCCACAGAGCTCTCCAGCAACTTATCTTCTGTGCCAGGCCACCCTATCTGTGGTTGCTGTCTTACTGCAAGGGTAAACTGGCCATTACATTCCTTCAGGTTGAATATTGCCATTTTATGTGAGGGTATTCTGTATTTTATTGTCCTGATGTTTTTCTGGTTAGTGTCACGTGCTTCCACTAGAAAAACCCAGATGTCCTGGGTAGGCACTTGTTGTGTATGTCAGGCTTTGTGCATGCTGCAGCTCTGTGGCCTTGCTGAATACACTTCTCCCCCTTTTACAGCACTGGGAATTGTGGCAGTGACCTCCTCACAGAGTTGTGCCAACAGCTTATTTTTGTGCATTTTACAGTTGTTTTTGAAAGAGAAAGGCCACGTGTGTGGAGGGGTTGTTTGCTCAAACCTAAAAGGAAACATCTTGTTCTGTTGTGGAGTATTTTGGTGCATTTTAGATGTATGGGAATGGCTTTCAAAACTAGAAAATTACTCCTATAAAAATACAAACCACAATATTTCAACTTCTGTACCCCCCATCCCTCAAACTGGTGGCACTGATACAGATTCACAGAAGATGTTGCTGTTGCTGAATCTCAGCTGTTTAGTGAAGAAAACTTTTGGCAGAATCCCCTTCTCACCATATACACTTGGGGTTTTATTCATTAGGTCTTTCCCAAACTTGCCATCCACAGAGTAGGAAAACATATTGCTGTCTGACAGTACTTGCCTCTAGCACAAGAAGCTTAAATGTCTTTTTTTTAATCTCTTTTCCTAAAGATTCGTCTTCCAACTATATCAGGCAACTTGAAACAAAAGTGAAACTGCTGGAGGATGACAACAAACTTCTTTCCCAGGTAGGTTTTTATTGCCTAATAGATACTAGTGTGACTCAGTTCTCATGTTTCCTGTGTCTGACTGCACATTTGAAAGCACAAGGTTTTTAGTAAACATCCTACCCAGGAAGAACATAATGGTCTTTTCATATCAACCCCCTACAGACAGAATTTGGTCTCCTTTTGTTAAAAAACAAAAAAAGTTAGAAAAAAGAAGTGAACCTTCTGTTAGTGTCCATGTGTGTTTCAGAGATGCATTAATGCCTCCCTGCAGAGCTCCTTGATCCACCACTGCTCTTGGGGATGCTGCAAGAGTCCAGCACTGCCTGTGCCCTTGCTGTAGGATTTTGTCTTGCTCACCCATTTACATGGACTTTTATCTCGTTGAAAGAGGAGTCTGTAGTCAAAGGACAGCCTTGGGAATAATTTTGTGCAGTGCTGGCTCCCAGCTTTTATTTGAGATGCTGCTTAAAGCTGAACAGACCTCTGTAAAGTGGAACTTTTTGCTTGCATCTCCCTTTCAAAGTCTACTCCATGTGCCACTGGGCTTTTGATCACACCTATGCTTACCTGTCTTTATATAGCAATGTCAAGCAGTGGGAAGAAAACAGTCATTCTGTCTGGTGTGTCCTCTGGATCCCCTGTAAAGCACAGCAGTTGGTGTAAACAGGGGCAGCTTTGCTGCATTCAGTGAAACATTGTCTATTTAGACCATTGGAAGAGTTACCCTATTCCTCTTGTTCTTTGCATCCTTTCAGTGTTTTATGTTCTACCTTCCTGGCATTTTAAAGGTTTTTTTTTCCTATACTTTGCTTCTTACTTCAAGCACTGAGTTTCACAGTGATTTTGTTGCAGATTCTTTCCAATTGTAAGGACTGGAAATAAAAAAGACCTTCTAATATATATATAAAATACCTTTTGCCAGTTTATATAGTGCTGTTCTTTGCATTTCATCAAGTCTGAAAATAGACTGCTCTAGGATGGCATTTCTAAAGCATTCCCAAATAATAAAGGGTTCTATGCTTATAGAAATTTCAATGAAATAATTTTGTCCAGCCTTATTTTTTTTTCTCAAATACACATTTTGACCTGATTGTGAGCTTTGTTAATGATTACCCCATATTTCCTATCTACTCTGTGGCATTGCTAGACAGGAAACAGAACTCATAGGGCACCAGAGGGTTAAAACCCCAAAGGGTGCTTAACTCAACAGCTTTGGAGCTGCTTCATGTATTAATTGATTGCTAATTTAATTTGAACTCCCTCTGTCTTTCTCCCAAACCCTGAGTGAGCTGTTGGCGGTCGAAACTCTGAGACTGTTTAATTGGAGCTATTGATAAGCAGATGGGCTGTGTGTGGACAGTTGGGATGTGCATGGATTTGGTGACAGGCTCAATGTGCCCTTGGTCCAGCTCTGTCCTGCCACAGCCAAGCACACTGCTCCCTCAGATCTGCCTTATGAGGTACCAAAAAAAAAAAGGTTGGTAATTAATGGTGGTAAATGAATAGGAGCTGAATAGCTGCCTGGGCTTATTGGATCATGAGGATGAATCCCAGTTAGTTCTGAGGTGTGTGGGGCTGCTTCAGGGTCACTCATCAGCCCTTCACCTCTGTGCTGTCCTGGGTGTGAAGGTTGTGCCCTGTCCTCCACGTGCATGACTGCCCTCAGGTGTCATCACCTTATGTCTGTGTCACTACAAACATTTGAATCCAGGAGGGAGGGAAATGACCTCAAAATAGCTCTGTGTTCTGGAGAAGGCCAATTGCCTCCCTGGCAGCAGCAAGTACTGGTGCCAGCCTGGCTGTGATGTGCTGTGCAATCCTTGTGTGACATCTTAATGACCTCCCAGAAAGACCAGGATCTGACCTATTGTAGATCACACTTATTAAATAACTCTTTTTATCATAAGCAGGGAGTCAGATTTCCTTAGGGCAACAGGAGAATTGCTGAAGTTACCATGATCTGGGTGAACTCTCTGGGAATACTGAGCTGCATCACCTCCAATCTCATGCCACACACCTAGATTTGGGGTTTTTTTTCTCTTTCAATGAGAAAGATTAGGAAAATCTACATAGACACAAACTCACATACATATGTACACATAGCTCCCAGCACTTTCCCAGAAAAGTATAATCCACTTACTGTATTCTTACTTGCTTTGTCTGATTGGAAAGCATTTAGCTGTTACCATGTGGATCTTCAGATAAGAATCCAGTCAAAAAGGATCCTGACAAACTTTCTCCTCTTTTTAAAGTTGCCAGGTGATCCTGGCCAGTTGAACTCTGCAGAGCCAAACTGGCTTGTCAACACCAAAGTCACATTTTAACTCAGCTTGGCTTTCTCCCGGGGAGTATTGACTTTGCAATAATATTTGCTGCCTGGTGTCAAGAAGTTCTATCACCAGTGTGCTGAGGAGCGATGAAACCTGACGTCCTAAGTAACAAACAGTGCCTGTGCATTAAGGGATTAACAAATCAGTGGTGGTTATGGAAGTCTTCCTGGCTTCCTTCCAAGGGCTAAACATAGAGCTGGAATAGTGCTTCATCCAGAGAAACCTGAGAAGGCTGGTACTGCAAAGGATATTTGCAAGCTTTACAGGAGGATTTATATTCCAGTGGCCAGTGACACAATGCCCCTTTGCTGGCTGGTGCATCCTGAGCAAGATTTGTTTCTTTATCTTCTTTGGCATCTGTGGAGTGAAGCTATGTGCAGAGTTTGTGGCTTTGTACCCTCTTCTGACATGGAATTCAGTTAGTGCAGGGGTCCTAAGGCTGCACTTTTTCTTCTGCTTCCTGACATATCCTTCCTCTATAAGCACTTTAGAAAAAAGCCTCAGTGGGAGAGGCAAATGCTCTCCAGCCTGTGCCTGGCAGCCCCTCTGTGCTGTGCATGTTACCTGCAGACACAAGGTGGACTAGGGTTCACACTTGTGTTTTTCTGGTGACTTATTCGAACAGGTTAATGGAGAGAGCTTTTCTTACCCTTGGGAGGTCAAGGATTACCATCTCACAGCTACACTTTGCAGTGGGAGGAAAGTAAATGGAGATGGGAGTGTTATTTATGATAGCCATATATGATGTTTTTCTTTTTTTTCTTTTTTTTAACTTCTTTTGCTTTCTAGGGAAGGAGATGTGTATTTCCAGTTGGGAAATGGGCTGCTTCTGACTTGGCTAACCCATCAGTAGACATCACTTTTCCCATTCTCCTTTGAGGAAAGCTGACTCCAGTTTTTACCTTTTATTGACTCAGTTTATGTTGTAATGTTTTGCTGGCATGGCCATGTTTGCTAGAAAGTCATGCTCTTGGATGTCATCACTGTGCTGGCAAAATCTCTGACAGCAGTTCTGACAGCACACAGCTTTGTTGCCCTGGTTTACTTTGATTGGGGAGATGCTGTAGCAAATGGCACTACCAGAGAAGGCCCCTCAATCCTGCTCTCCCATATTGGAGGTGTCTGTGTTGTAGCCACAGTGGCAAAGACCTCACAGAGCCAGGTGGGGACCTTAGTGTCCTGGGGTTGATGGTGTGAGCCTTTCTCACAAGTGTAGCTGGTTTTTGGAAGTTTCAACTGAAGTGTAAAGAAGATGAATGTAAGCAAGCTCTGATGAATGTTGGGTGTTGGCTTTGGAGACCTTCATGAGCATCACTTTTATAGTCTCAAATCCTCTAGGAAAGAAATGCACTGAGTTTTGCTGTGTGTAAACAGTTATCTGTGCAATATCAAGTGGGAGAAGTCCTATTTTTCCCCTGTGTCATTGTGAGAGGTGCCCAGAAGAGCTGGTGTTAACCTCTCTTCACTGGTGACTGGCTGACTAGGTGAGGGTACCTTCTATATTGCTAAGGTATGGGAGACCATATTTGCTTTCCTTTCCTTTGATCTGAAAGTGTCCAAGCAGAAAATAGACCCCTTAAGCCACCTCATGCTGCCCCTTGAACTAAAAAGGAATTTTTAATTACATGCTTTCCCCTCAGTTAGAGAGACCTGTGTTTATGACCTTTAGGAACTCCAAAGGTCAGTTCTGGTTAGTTTTATAACCAAGGCATACATTTCAGAGATAATAACAGTGACAAACCTTTGCCCATTCTTTCACATTATTTTGCATTTTCAGCTCATTCAGTACACTCCCAAGGACTGAGCACTTTTAACTAAAACTGAAGTTTATAGGCTCTGGGAACTCATCACCCAGTTCTCTCTCCTGTGCACCATGGGCTGGCTGATGGGACTCCTTTTGGTTTATAGTCTCTGCTGAGCTGTGTCTAGCTTTTCCCTTCAGAACAGGA